TGAGTGAGAGTGTGTGGGCCTGGGTGTGTGTACACGCGAGTGAGAGGGAGTGTGTGTGCATGTGTTTTTGTGTGTGTGCGTCTGCGCACGTACTGATGCACGTGAACCTCTGACACACGGTGGTGATTGTCACCTCTTATTCATTAACACGACACGTACTGTCCCATATCCGACTCCAGGCTGTGGAAAGGAAACACCATTCTCAAGTTTGGAGAGGTTGCAAACGCTGTCGCTGCTGCACGCGCATGCGTACGAACAGCTCAATGCATGCACGTGTGTGTGTGTGTGTGTGTGTGTGTGTGTGTGTGTGTGTGTGTGTGTGTGTGTGTGCATTCCCTCGCCTTGTGCCCATGAGTCATCCCCCAAGGCTGCTGCAGCTCACTTCTGTGTGTGTGTGTGTGCAATTGTGTGTACAATTGTGTGCGTGTGCTTGCGACTGCGTGCTGTAGGCTGAGGCGGCACATGACAGATGGCAGAAAGCACGAGATGCGATATCAGCCTCTTCAGCAGACCAATAGGCCCTCGATTTGAACACACCACGTGCTGTTGCTTGTCAGCATGATTCTGCGTTGACGTTTTGAAATGCTCCCTCTTCGCGTTGCTGCGACAGTGCCACGCTGTTGCTGTTACATTTTTATGTTACATTACATCTTGTTTGTGGTAGCCCACGTTCAGCTCGATTCGTGGCTTCGCACACATGCACACCAGTTCCATACCACCACCCCCTTTTCCCCCCCCCCCTCGTTCTCTCCTCCCACCCCAAACTGACCAGCGTGCTTCGTTCTTCATAGAAACGTGTTGAGATCTCCCTCCTCCCGTCCTTCCTCTCCGTCCAACTTTCTGTGACGACTAGGCGTTTTGATGGCGCTTGTTTGTTCCGTAGTGGTTGTGCCGTGGCATGCTTGCTTGCCTGTTCGGTCAGTCATATGTCTGTATGCCGTGGTTGTGCATGTTTTAATGTAATGACACGTGCACTGCTGCCTCGTGCTCGTATTTGCCGCCATGTTAGCTGCTCTCGCCCTCTTTTCACACACATGCACGCATACGTTGATTTGATACAACGTTTTATTGAGATGAATTGGGGGATGGGATGTGAGTGCAACAAACCCCCTGGGGATGTGCTTCGCTCACTTCTCGGAGTGAAGATAAACAACGTTCACACGAGACACGCACGTGCGTGCGGTGCAGTGTGCAAACAAAAACAATGGCGCCATGTCACAGAAACGCAGACAGCGGGGGGAACGGGTCATATTGTAACAAGGCAGTGCGCTCTGGCACTGCAGCTTGAGGAGCCGTGAGCAGCGATGAAATGAGCTATAGAGCTATTCCTTCATGTTAAAGGTGAGATACGGCCCGTTGAATGACTCGGAGCTGTAAAACAGCACAGCCGTGCTTGACTAGTGTGCGTGTGTGTGTGTGTGTGTGTGTGTGTGTGTGTGTGTGTGTGTGTGTGTGTGTGTGTGTGTGTGTGTGTGTGTGTGTGTGTGTGTGCAGGTGGTGGCAACCGGGCACGGGCGTCGGCGAGTGGATGCATGCAGGCAACAAAGGAACAAAGGCGTGAATTGTGGTTCGTGCGTGAGTGTGATGGAGTGATGTGACATGACCGTCACTTTCAAACATGCAAGGCAAACACCTCAGGCAGTCGCCCGGTCGCAGATGCACTCCGAAACACACACACACACACACACACACACACACACACACACACACACACACACACACAGAGCAAAGACAGGCACAGGTGGGAATGCTCTGTTGGTGTTCACCGTGCGAGTGAGTGGGAGGGACAAACCTTGTTTTCCTCGCCCTGGAGCACCCAGCCGTGGTTGGGAGCGGTTTGCGAGAGCCAGGACTTGACATCAGTCGTGACTGCATGCAGGTGACATGAGAGAGAGAGAGAGAGGGTGCAATGTCCCGTGAGTGAGCATGAAGGCAACGGACCATGCTATGCTGCCATGGCTCGCACAAACACACACGCATGTACACAACGTACGCAACGACACACATGTAAACAAGCCACATGTCAACACACCAAGCCACGCACACGCACACACACATACATACACACACATACATACACACACACATACACACACGAGCCATCCAAGAAGGTGAGCGTACCATCAAAGACGAGCTTGCTTGGAGTGATGGTGCTCTGACTGCTGCTCGTTTGGGCGAAATCGCCACCGAGATGATCCCATGTCTGCACGTTAAAGGAGTTATACTTCCACGTAACGTCGCCGGCCATCGCAGTCGCACACCGGCCAGACGCAGAGGTGCTGTTGCCGGTCGTCCAGTGCTTCTGCAGCCGCCAGAGGGAGAACGTGGATGAGTCGGAGCCGCTCCCTGCGCGGTAGGGCTTGAGGGTGAGTGTCGCGCTTGTGAGCTTGGTTGGCTCAAAGGGAGCACCAGTCAAGTTGAAGTAGAGCAAGCCGCGCCGCACGCCGTTGCCTGCTGTTGCTCCGGCGATGATGTGGCCCACGCCAATGGACCCTTCCAG